CGCTTCTACGTGGGCTGCTGCTTCGGCTGCTGTTGGTGCTGCTGCTGTTGCTCAGGAGAAAGGCAGCATCGTGAGGCAGCGCCACAGGCCGCATCTTGCTGTTGCTGATGCTGCTGCTGCTGCTGGTGTCGCTGCTGCTGCTGCTGCCGGAGGGAGGCAGCGCAAGCCAGCAGCCTGCTGAAGCTCTCCTTGCTGCAGCAGCAGCATCTCGAATTGCACCCATCGCTGTGTGGACACCTGAGCCTTGTTGTTTTGCTCCTGCTGCTGCAGCAGCAGCATCGGGGCAAAGCTGGAGGGCGTCTCTGTGCAGCAGCAGCAGCAACTGCTGCTGCTCTGCAGCTGACGCGAAGCAAATTTGATGAACTGTGCGGCTGAAGGTCTCGAGGATTTGGGCCAGCAGGCGGCGCTGGGGAGGCCGAGGTGCTGCTGCTGCTGCTGCTGCTGGTGAGTCTGCTGCTGCTGCTGCAGCAGCAGCAGAGCTGTCCGGGGCGTCCAGCTGCAGAAGCAGCACCTTGTCGCTGCAGCAAACTGCCAGCGCCTCAAGGGCAAGTGCCCTCACCCAATCTGCTGCTACGTCAGCTAGCCGCTGCAGCAGCAGCAGCAGCGACACAGCCTGCTGTTGCAGCAGCGGGAAATACATGTAAACCAGCTGCACCACAAGCCTCACTGCGCGCAGCAGTACGGGCTTCTCCTGCTGCTGCTGCAGCAGCTGCTGCTGCAGGGTGGGGCACAGCTGCTGCTGCAGCAGCTGCAGCAAACCAGGCAGCAGCAGCGGCAACGAAGGATGCTGCAGCAAAACGCGGCTCCACAAATGGAGACAAACAGAAGGAGACAAAGACAAGTCCCCCAGCCACGCTGCTGCAGGAACAAGTCTGCTGCTCCTGCTGCTGTTGCTGCTGCTGCTGCTGTTTGCTGCATCCGCCTTGCAAGACTGCATCAGCACCTGAGTCAAATCCTCAAGAAGATGCAGCAGAGCCCTTCCTGCGCGACCCGGCTGCTGCTGCTGCTGCTGTTGCTGTTTCTGCTGTTGCTGCCGCTGCTCAAAGCTCACGGTGGCTTCTAGCGTGTTGCTGCTGGTGCTGCTGCCGCTTGTAAGAAACTCAGCTGAGTGCAAGCCATTCTCACCCCGCTGCTGCTGCTGCGGTTGCTGCTGCTGCTGCTGCTGCTGCTGCTCAAGAAACGCGCCCCCCACAAGGCAGCTAATGAGCTGCTCTAGGCCTGCGCAGGCGCCGTGGAAGAGGGGCGTATTCGTGGCTGCTGCTGCTGCTGCTGCTGCTTTGGAGTGGCCAGCAGCAGTGGAAGCCGCAGCTGCAGCAGGAGCAGCAGCAGCCGCAGGAGCTGTTGC